ATACACATATATACAGACAAACCAAGCTCTTCATCACAAGTTACGATCGGGATAGTAGGCTAGCAATTGACAAATTTTAAATTTTAGGCTAGCAAGACAATTTTATTGACAAACAGAGAAATACACATATATACAGACAAACCAAGCTCATCATCACAAGTCACGATCGGGATAGTAGGCTAGCAATTAAGTTTGAGGCAGCCTTATAGATACTTTTTTCTAACCTTTTTCTCCTAGGCAGCTGAAATATTCTTTGAGTCTTTCAATGTACCCGCTCTTCATATCCAGATGCAGGCAGTCCTGTCACTATATTCTTCAGGTCAATCTCTTTTATGGCTGTTGACCAGTGGCGAACGCATGTAAACTCATTGACAAATTTTTTCGATGGGACTAGGTCTTGAAACCATAAGTGAGGTACAAAATCCTGTACGTAATAACACGACCTAATTGTACTTATTGCTGCTTGTTATTGCAAAAAATCTCAAAAATTATAATTTCGAGAAATTCGCTCCGACTAGAAGAAGCATCGCATTAGCTTAGCCTTAATCCGCGCCCCTTTTGCTTATTTCCTTCGTGCCCTTCCTCCTACAAAATATTTGCGATCGCCACTGTTGTTAATGTGCAGCATGTCTTTCTAAAATCAGTTGTATAACTATAGGTCGCACAACTGGAGTAGTTCTTGATTCTGGCGATGGAGTCACTCATGTGGTTCCTATTTATGAAGGCTTTGCTGTAGATCATGCGTGAGTTTTTACAAATTTTCTTTTTTGAACTCCCCAGAAAATCTTGACACGCATCATCTCTTACGAATTGTAATACGTAGTTTTATCTGGTGTTCCATACTTGATCAGCTTTATGCTCATTAGATTTTGAAAGTTGAACATTTGTTTATCATCTACTCTTTTTGGAAACATTTCGTGCTCTTATTTGCAGTATTGGAAGAATGGATGTAGCAGGAAGAGACGTTACTCGATGGTTACGCTTGCTGTTACGCAAGGAAGGTACCGATCTACATAGGACAAGCGAATTTGAAATTGTTCGCGAGATAAAGGAGAAAGCTTGCTACCTGGCTACAAACGTAGTTAAAGAAGAAGCTAGTGAGAACGACAAGGTTATTAAATCAAAGTCTTTTCTTTCAAAGAAGTTAACTCGATATGTAATGGTGTTTAGCTCATCTATCCTTTACCTGACGGTTCGCGTCTAGAAATTGGTGCAAGTCGGTTTCGTGCTCCGGAAGTGCTGTTTCGACCTGAACTAATTGGGGAGGAATGGCCTGGCATAGCTCAACTTGTAAATGATTCCATACGGGTAGGTTTAAATGCAACTAATTTTCCAATTTCTAATATTAATTGCGGTGCAAAACAGTGCATGTGCTTTGCTCTTTATACCTTTTT